TCATTTCAATCAATCAACCCGACAAATATCTGAATCTCAAGATTTAGATCTATTTTAAATTTGTCCAATCTTAACGTGTTTAGTTTGACTGATTATAACTTATTATTATTATTATTACATTTATTTATTTAATAACATGTCGAAATGGATAAATAACAACGTTCCATCACCAACTGACGCGACTGACGAATGAATGGTCGTTGATCGATCGGTCAACTGCAGTTAGTCATGACTAAAGTGATTGTATCAATGGGACTCACAGATGATCACCATTGCCACTGCTGCTGCTACTGCCGCCGCCACTGATGTTGTTGTTGTTGTTGTTGTTGATATCAATATTGATTTGTTGTGATATGTTGTGGATTGGGGGAGATGGTGGCTGCACGGGATGCTGACCCTGCGCCATGAGCAATGCATTCAATTGATTGATGATCAATATCTGATTGCTCTCCATGGTGGTGATGCGCTCTTCGACCAACTTGCGCGCCTGACGCTCCTCCTCGATCTTCTTGACGAGGCCGGCGTTGGTCTTGGTCTCTTCGGCGGCGACGGCGGCCGCATCGGCATTGGGGTTGCTCTCCGCCACCTGATTCTGAATCTGCTTGCGGTAGCGTCTGGTGCGACCAAATGCCTTGACGGCTTCGATGTACTTGACAGAGAAGAGGGCTTCCTGTGAGTTGAACACCTCACGACTCTCTGCAAAGCTGTTGTCATTCTGCCAGCGATGTCTGCGCCAGACCACCTGAATCAGCTTGGCGGCAGAGTTACGCTCCTGTTCCTGCACCTCCAACATAAAGATATAGTTCATGATTGGCTTCTGATGTGCTGTTGGATGTGTCAGATGACTGAATTGTTCAATCAAACATGCTAGCATGAATAGACCAAGGATTGATGACATCTAAGTATGATGGATGGGAGAGGGCATGGTAAGTAAGAGGACGACCTAAGGACCATGACATGAGACATACGATTGCACCGAATCTTCCAAAGAAGGTTGAGGGGTTGTAGACATCGTAGGTGTCGGTTGGCCAACCGGTGAACATGCTGAGGAATGAGACGTAGAGGGAGGCAGCGTAGGTGAATGGTGGACTGTGTACAGCCTCACGTTCAAACACATAGATGATGTGTGAGCAAATGAAGATGATCAACAAAGTGATTGGAATGAATGTGGCCAAAGGTCTTTGATAAAGCATTGTCTTCATGCTGAGTGCCCAGTTGAACTTGGGTGGCACTTCATTCTTCTCGCGATACCTAATGGGGAAGAGGGGAGTGGAGTAAGAGAGTCAGTGATTGATGGATTGATTGGAGATCGTGGACATACTTGGCAACGATGCTGTGACGGATCTTGTAGACATGGGAGAAGTCACGGAAGACTCTGCCAAACATGTAGATACGCAACCACATGAGTAGGCCCCACTTGGGATCATTCCATAGTTGGACTTGTCCAGACGCGAATGGAATGGGTTGTAGAATAGTGATCAATACCTCGGTCCAGAAGAGTGGCGCCATCTGTGTCGATCTGAGTACATTCAATGGAGTGACCCTAAAGCCACGAGCACGCTTTGTAAGCCATCCATGAGTGACATTAGATAGTAGTAAACGATAATAGTCCATAAGTTGGCATACTAATAGTTGATTGATTGATTGATCGAATGAGATTGATTAGCCAAATGAATGAATGATCGATCCAAGCAAGTATAAATACTCTTACTTACATAATAGAATTGAAGAGAAGAATATGATACCTCTGAACCACTTTGATGAAGTGTCCAAGACAAGGATCTTCTTCTCAGAGTTCCATGATACTTGGAGTTCGACAATCATCAAAGCAATGCCAATGACACCATTGATGAATATGTACAGGTATCGATTACGCAGTACCTTATCAATCTTTTGTGATTCAATCTCACTCCTTATCGTTGTGATGGCAAACGTCGCCGACGGCAGAATAGTAAAGTCATTCTCTTCAGGCCGCTTTATATGGCTAAGCAGCTTTCTTCTGTTCATCTATCTGCTATTAATAGTAGAGACTGAGACTAAGACTGATGTAATAAATTAAATATATATATTATTATGTAAGTATATGTATATGTATAAATTATTATTACAATTGTGTTGTTGTAATTGTAATGATGCCAATGAATGTGAGGAGGTGTGTGTGAGAGTTGGTCGATTGGGAGCGAGGTCGGAGGTGGTTAGAGTTGGGTTCGAAGAGACAGCGAATGAACTTTCAAAACTTGTCAAATATCTTTTGTCTTCGTCTCTTGCATGAACGCCCTCGCACAACATTGTACAAGTTAACAACTTTAGATGTTCAATGCATTATTTCATTCAATCAATCAATCTTCAGAGATAAAGTTATATATAATAATGAATAAGTTTGAATATTTATCAATCAGATATGATGGTGATGATAAGTTGGAAGTACTGGATCAGAGGAAGTTACCTGATGTAGAGGAGTGGATGTTGTCAAATAGCCCTTCAGACATGGTATCATATATTAAACAGTTGTCAGTTAGAGGTGCTCCATTAATAGGTGTAGCGGCATCAGTTGCTCTATATCTTCATGTCAAGAAAGGAGGCGAGATGACACGCGAACATATTATAGAGACAAGTCAACAACTTAGACAAGCAAGACCAACTGCAGTCAATCTAATGAACAACTTGGATGAGATGATGCAGTTGTCATTGCCAGAGGCTGAGCGTGACTACTCGGTGAAGAGGTTGGCAAGCATTGCAGAGTCGATCATTCAACGCGAGGTCGACATGTGTCTGAAGATGTCTCAGTTGGGCGCACAGCTCATCAATGACGGCGACAACATTCTGACACATTGTAATACTGGTGCGATTGCCACTCCGGGCATGGGCACAGCATTGGGCATCATCCGTGAGGCACATCGTCAGGGCAAGCGTATTCACGTTTATGTCGATGAGACACGCCCTCTGTTGCAGGGTGGCCGACTAACCACATACGAGCTGGCGCGCGAGAAGATACCCTACACGCTGATCTGTGACAACATGGCCGCGACATTGATGGCAGCTGGCAAGATTCAACGAGTGTTTGTTGGTGCCGATCGCATCGCCCGCAACGGAGACTTTGCCAACAAGATCGGCACATACTCTGTGGCCGTCATTGCCAAGTATCACAATGTTCCCTTCCACGGCGTGGCCCCATGGACCACAGTGGACCTCAGCTGTCTGAGTGGCAAGGACATCCCAATCGAAGAGCGTGCAGCTGCAGAGGTGCAGGGCGCCTCTGGTGCCTTTGGCAATGTGCGCTGGGCGCCTGCCGCCTCGCAGACCTTCAACCCAGCGTTCGATGTGACGCCCGTCGACCTTGTCACCAGCCACATCCTGGACACTGGCATCTACACACAGGAGCAGCTCAAGGACAATGTTCTTATGAACTTTAGCAAGTAATAGATAGACGACATGCGACATGCGAATAAATCAAGTTGTCGACAATTCATTCATTTATTCATTCAAGCCTAGGACAACAGAAGTAGCAGGATAGAGCATACTAGGATGGAGAGGATGTTTGTGGAGATGATGGATCCACTGCTTGGTCCTGTTGTGGTTGATATGGTAGTTGTGGAGGTCGGGGACACTGTCGTTGTAGATGTGGAGGCAGTCGTGGTGGATGTTGTTGAAGTCGACGTGGTAGAGGTAGTGCCAGTTGTCGATGGGTTGCCAACAGTGATATTGGCTGAAGTTGATTGGCCACCAACAATGACGGTGACATTGTAGATAGTGTCCTGGGTGGGGAATGACTCGGCACCAAGCACAATCCTTGTCTCTTCGACATTGGCAACCTTGACAGCGACACCATTGACCAACAGCGTGACGTTCTTGAGGGCAGTGCCAAAGTTGCTGCCAGTGATATAGCCAAAGACGCCGCTATCGACACGCGAGAAGGCTGTGATGATGGGTGCCTGGTAGGACCACTGGATAGTGCGATTCATGCTCTGGTGGAAGGTGTACACGTAGACAAAGCCCTGGCCAATGCCAGCCTCCACGGGGAATCTGAATGAGAGGTTGGGCACAACGATCTCGGCGTCGGGTGAGGCGACCGAGGCGGCCTGGACCTCCCAGCCCAAGTCGAATCCAGTGACCGTGATGAAGCCGCCAGTGGTTGGGGACGAGATGACCTGGGCATTGATCACAAGTGTTGGGCAAACTGATTGTGGCACTCCAACCAAATTTGGTGACTGTCCAGCAAAGTTGTCGAAGTTATTGCCCTCAAAGCCATATCCATAATACTCAATCTCGCACAAGAAGCATGTTGGCAAGTTACCAGACAACTTGTTGTTTGTCAAGATCAAACGAGTCATTGGCTTGACCTGGCACAAGTATTGTGGAAGGCTTCCACTGATATTACAGTTGTCCATGTTGCTAATCAATGATCGATCGATTGATTGAGTGAGTGAGTGAGTATGGAGTGTGATTAAGCATGTGTCTTGCCGGCAACAACAAACATACATTGTACCAATGTTGGCCAACTCGCTGGCTGTTACATTGAGTTGATCAAAGGTGGATGAGAACTCATTCTCAGATACATCCCTGTTGAGTTGGAGTGAATGATCACCGTTAATATAATTGTCAAACTGATTGATTGATCTATGACTTACAATGATGTCAATCCAGTTATGTCAATCTTGGCAAACTGGGCTGCACTAATCATTCTAAGCTTCAGGTTCATGTTTGGAGAGTACTTGATACCTGGATAGACGAGTCCAGAGAACAGGGTTGTACATGATACCATGAACAATGAGGTAATGCTTGACTTTGAGAAGTCCAATGTTGATGAGGCTGAGAACACATCTCCCTTGATAACACTGGGTAATGTTAATGGTTATACTTGTATCAGATACAAGAGTACTATACTTACAGCTTTGAGATGGTGGACTTGAGAAGTGATGATGGAATTGCTACAACAGCGGTGTTTGGACCAGATTGGATAGTCAAGACAGTGTTCTTGTAGTTGGAGGTAAACTTATCAAAGCTGTCGAATGGGAATACATTGGTCGAGTATATAGTCCTAGATAATATGATGTATGTTAGATTGATTGATTGATTGGTACATTCGTCTCATGATTGATCATAACTTACAGAGTCTGGAGCTTGGTGAACATGGAAGTGTATGAATCTGGAATGGATGAGGCTGTCATTGAGACGGCACTACATATGGTGTATGTTAGTAACCGACAAAGTGGATTACAGTTGTTAGGTGGGAGTTATTCTTACAGGCTCTTGAGGTAGGAGTTTGAAGATGTCACAGCTGGCAATACAAATGGGCTGGAAGCAGAGACAATGGCAAAGTTGCTAAGTGGAGTGGAAAAGATGTTGCTATCTATTGTGGCATTGGACACAACACCAAGTGATCTAGAGTGTAATGATTGATTATTAAGAGCATGAGAATGAGAATGAAGGGAAGAGAGATTGATCCAAGAGTCCAAAATAGTATGCATACAGTGTAGTAAGTGCTGGGAAATTGGTGCCATCAATGTTTGTCAAGTCCTTGAGACAGTTGTCGCTACATATTCTGCTCGCCAGTTGTCATCAGAGTAGTTTGGGAGGGAGGGTATAGTGATCAGTGATCATAGATCATAACTAACATTGATGATCAAGTACTTACAAGCTTGTAAATGAGGCAAGTGGAGTGGTCCAGAACTGTGCAGCCAGTTTGATTTCTCCATTTAGACTCCTGATTGATTGAATGAATGGTTAGTCTTGCCTCCATACCAAATCAATCACTTTAAGTAAGAACTTACAATGTTGACAATTTGGTGAATGGGGACACATCAAGATCGACCCAACTAGCTCCATTGGTCAATGACAGTCCAATAACATTAGTAGCACTACATATTACAATGGTGCCATCGCATTCTTGAGCTGGAAGTCCGAATGTAGACTTCATAGACTGAAGCATATCAATCTCAGTCTGTGGGAGTTGTGAATTAACAACTCCCATCAACATAACAGTTGCCAACAGTAATGATACAAGTCTATTCATTCTTATTACTATATTATATCTAAGGACGTAGTACTTATGAATGAATGAATGATGAATGGTTTATTAGATTGAGGATTAATGAATGGTCAGCGCCTACCCCGACAACACTGGTGTTGACCGAACAATGGTCCAAATGGGAGGGACCATTGCAACGGTTGGACACGAAAAAAGTGTTGACTGAGGCTTTAGGCCTTCAAAAATATCTGGTGGTCCTTGAAAAAATGTTTGGCCAATCCAATCACTTCTTTCGTCTTCTGTGAATCGGGAAAAAGCCAAAGGTGCATTGTTTACTGATCATGGTTGCCCTGCAAGCAAAGAAAACAGGTCAATCTGTCGACTTGCCAGGTTTTGGTAAGAGACCAACGACTGAGTGTTTTTGGTGTAGTTGGTTAGCTGATCATTGGCCGCAACACTGAAGTGATCATTGTTGAGTGTGAGCGAGAGTAATCGATCGGATGGCGCAATTGAGGACATAAGATGATCGCCAATGAACTTGTTGCCAGAGACGTCCAGCTCTTTGAGTGAGGGATGTGCTGTGAGTGCCGGGCAAAGTATAGCCTCAGACGCGCCAGTCAGTCCATTTGAAGCGAGAGATAGGTAGTAGAGTGACTTGTTCAGTCGCGACACCAGTCTAGACACGGCTAACAGTTGTTGTGTCTCAACGTTGGACAGTGAGCCATCGGATAGTTTGAGAACTGAGAGTGATTGACAGTGCGAGAGACTGTCAAACACGCCAGCATTGAGAGGTACTGATTCAACAGAGAAGAGATTGAGTGACTTGCATATTGGATGGTCTGGCGAGGAGAGGGCAATCGACAGGACGCCAGATATATTGTTGGATTCACTGCTTGGCGACGAAGCGGATACACCATACAGGAATAGCTCCTTCAAGTGCAAGGCTTGTCCAAGCAATGCCCCAAGTTGCTCAAGTGTTGCGCGGTCACATCGATCAAACTCAAAGATTGGCATGTTGATCGATTCAATGCTTGAGCCACACGACTGCAGCAACTCGATTGTCGTGGCAGGCGTGACATTGAATCCACTCAGTTGCAACTTCTTCAATGTGCTTCGATGAATGACAGAGTGGAGAAGAGCTGTGGGCGGCATCTCCATCGCCGGGTTTATCTGAAGGTCATCGAGTGTAGCATGTGCGGTGATGGACTGTGCCAACGAATCAACATTGGCAACATCCTTCTCTGCATACAAGTACAAACATTTGAGTTGAGTACATGCGTTTAACAATGTGGCCAGATGCTGCAAGTCGCATGTATCCACCTCTGAAGTTGACAACACAATCTTGTTGATTGAGTTTAGTTGATGTTGCTGCACCAACAACATCGATGATAGTGATGTCAACGCTATGTCTGAGTCGATGAACAACAATGACTTGAGTGTGTTCAATGAACCATTGGCAATCAATTGATAGATGGTGCGTAGCCTGTCATTATACGCAGCATTGGATGTATGATTATGTCTTGCTCTGTCCACACTCTCAAAGCGCATCTCTTCAATGTTGCTCGAGTAAACAGACCATCTGCGAACATCTGACTGTATGGACAAAGTCTGAATTATGTTGTCCAGTCTTTTGATCGATGAGTTGTTGTGTATAACTGCCTTGGTGAAGTGAGCGGATGTCAGTCGAAACCAGAGTTTGTTGACAAGTGAGAGCTGGGCAATCCATCGATTCCTAGGATTCTCCACACCTCCTCCATCATCATCGTAGTATTGAATAAAGACATGATTGATTATACATGTTGCTATTGCTTCGTCAATTTGATTATTATTATTCATTGTAGTCATTGTAGTTGTTTGGATGATTTTCACAATCAACTAAACCATTTCAACAATTAATTCATGTTTCCTGAATTTGAATTAAAAAATATTAAGTTAATATCTAATAGGATCAATTTCAATAAGAATTGATCAAGTTTAAAATAAAATTCTCAATTTTGTAGCAATATTGTGTTAATTTAGTGTGATTTAAGCTCATGATAGCACCTTAGCTCAGAGGTAGAGCGGTGGGCCCATAACCCACAGGTCGGTCGATCGAAACTTCCAGGTGCTAAATCCTTTTAACCTTGTTTATTTTTTTTTTTTTTTTTTTTTGACTAGAGTGGAAGTTTATTATTATTGCAAATAAATTGGCGTCATTGAAGAGGCGGGATAATATATATAAGTTAGTCGATTTTGAATTTTCTTGATTTTTTTCTTTCTTTTCTTTTCTACTGTAGGCCTCTGAATTCGGCCACCAAGTATTTGTTGATAGTTGGCGGCAGAGGCGGAAGACGGATGTCGCTGTTGCGAGTGCTGAGGTGCCACTTGGTAGTGAACTCGGCCATCTCATTCTTGATGTTGACTGGTCGTCCGGCCAGGATGTGACTCGTTAGCGTGGACATGAGGGAGCGCCACTCCTGGCGGAGGAGGGACTTGAAGGATGTGATGCACACCAAGCTGAGCTTGGCCAACGGGGCCTCCTTGTTGCCAAAGAGGTGGTTGGCGATGTAGTGCCAGAGGTAGTTGACAATGATTGCCATGAGGTGGATGAATGGAAGGTTGGGGCGGCGAGACTTCGTGGAGATGTCCAGTGCTTTGATGTTCCATTCTCTGACGTTGATACCAGAGCGTTGCTTCACCAAGTCTAAGGCTGGGCGCATGGCTTCTTGGGTCGCCACTTTGCTGCAGTCAAAGAAGAAGTGATTGTAGGGTTGGTCTGTGCAGGAGTTGCCACAGAGAGTGCAGTCAGCGTCTGCTCTCATATGATWTCTCTTTAATATCATATTATAATAACCTAACGATTTTACTTCGAAAGTACTTGAGATCCT